GGGAGCTATCGAGCTGTCTCTGGGTGGAATGGAATGTGGCCTACGACGTGCAGATACTAAGTGTTTTGTTTGTATGTGTCATTGGTTAATTGGTGCTGAGACGAATGAATCCGTGTCTGAGATGGGCGGGCTTGACTGGCCGGGAGAGTTCCATCAACCAACCGTTGTATGTATGCCAGTGTATCGTCTCGCCAGTGCACTGCACGCCCGCCCGCCCGCCCGCCCACTCTCCTCTCCCGCCCTTGTCCCTCCGGAAGCTGAGCTAATTAACCACCGCTGACAGCCTGTTAGGCAGCCTGCCTGCCTACCAAAAGGATACTCGGCCGGCTACCCACACAACACAACTCAACTCAACTTGTACACCAACCACAGCTGACCACCTCCCTCAGCTGCTGTCGCCGCTGCCGTGTCGTTTCTTCTTGGCCTTCTTGTCCTTGCGGCTCTTCTTCTTGTCAGACCGGCGCTTCTTGCGGTGACGATCCTGATAATCCAATCCACACACACACACACACACCCCGAGAGTCAGAAAGAGATCAAGAAGGGCACCACACACATACCCACCTCGCTGTCACTGCTATCGTCACTGTCGCTGTCGTCGCTGTCGCTGCTGTCGCGCCTCTTGCGCTTCCTCTTTTTGTCCCTCTCTCGCTCTTTCTCCTTCTGGCGCCTCTTGTCGGCCTTGCGCTGCTCCTCCCGCGCCGCCCTGATGCTCGCGTCCATCATGAAGAAGTCATCGCCCTCCTCATCCTCATCGCTGCCGCCACCACCACCACCACCACCATTGCCTCCCCGCCGGCTGTCATCGCCCCGCCCATCCTTCTTGGACTTCTTCTTGAGCTTCTTCATGCGCCTGCAGCACCAGCACCAGCACCACCAGCAGCAGCATCAGCGGCGGCTCGGTCATCGGGTGATTGATGAGACAGGGAGGGAGGGAGGGGTGTGCTCATGTCCATGTCAGTCAGTCATGTCGGCCGTTGATATCGTGGCAGCACAGAGAGCGTAGGCCGCATCTCCGCGGAAATGGAGGGAGGGAGGACAGACAGTAAATACACACAAACAAACGGAAGACCAACAGAGAGAGAGCAGACAACAGAACGTGAGGCATGCAGTGTTATGGCTGTGTTGGTGGCCATGATGCCATGGCTGTGTGTGTGTGAGTGATGATTACTTCTTCTCCTCTTTGAGTTTGTGGTCCCGCTCGCGCTGCAGCTGCCTTTGGTACTCCTCCTGCAGCTCCTCCTGGAACTTCTCGGCGTGGTCGATCTCTGCCGGCGTCCGGCTCTTGCTCTGCGCACCCTTGCCGCTCAACAAATCATAATACAAACTGACCGACGCACACACACCGACACACCCACAATACACAACCAGAGACAGAAAGGAGGACACAATCAATCGTCTGTCGCCTTCGTGTGGTGTGAATCATCCAGTGCGGTGTGGCAGGTGGTGTGCTCACTCCTTCATGGCCTGTGAGAGGGGCGGCGGCTCGGGCGAGCCTCCGCCATCCTTCCCCCGCTCTCTCTCGCCGCCGTGCATGGGATGTGTCAACAACACCGACGGCACTGACTGACGACAAGGCTCCTACTCACTCAGTCGTTGCTGTTTTCCTGTTTCGCCACCTCAGCTCGCACAGCAGCTCGCGCTCTGAGTGGTAGTTTTTGCGCACGCATCCCCATCGCACGCAGCTCCCCTACAGAGCTGCTGCCGTCCTGTTGCTTTGTTGAGCTGATCAGCATCGCCCTCCCTCCGATCCCCCTCCCTCCACAGGTCTGAGTGTCCGTCCGGCGGCATTCAGTCGTGCACCATGCAGGACTCGTCCACGACCAGCCTCCTCCACTCGGTGACCTTCTCATGCGACGACTACGAGCGGCTGCCGCCGTCCAACCGAGAGTGCCTCCTCACGGACGCCAAGCGACTGGCGGGCAAACACGAGGAGCCTCAGGGAAAACCGAGCCTCGAGGACGTCCTCGAGGCGGTGCTCTTCACCAGAGATGAATTCTCGCAGCTGCCGCCCATGGACAGGCAGGAACTGCTCAGGAATGCACTCATACTCCACGAGAGAGGTGAGGGAGGGCGGGGAGGGCCCTGTGAGGGGGGTGGGGGGAGATCAGATAAGAGGAGGTCGTCTGTGGCCGTGCTGCGGTGCGTGTGGTGGGTTTGGTGCCTGGATGTGGCGCGGAAGGTCGGTACCTGTCGTGTGTGTGTGTGTGATGCTGTGTCCACCAGGCCAGCGTCTGAAGAAGGAGGAGCTCCCATCGGAGAACAACAACCACCCGTCCGAAGCTGTAGGCGTACGCACACCTACACCCACACAGACCCACCACCGCCTCCCTACCTTTCCACGCAGACAGACAGACACACATGAATCTCTGGCTCTTCTCTCTCTGCTCTCTTGTTTGTTCTTTGCTCATCCATCAGCCGTCCAAGTCGGGTCGTGCGTCATCGAAGCGTGCGCCGGCTGCGAGTCGTCCGAAGAAGCGCGGCACCTCCAAGTCGACCACCCCCAAGTCGCGCAAGATCAAAGTCGGCGGCAGAGGCAGAACCAGCCTCCTCAGGGACGATGACGAAAGTGAGCGAGCGACCTGACTCACTGAAATGAAAGGGGTTCACGTGGATGGGATGCGCCCCACACATGGAGATGGATGGATGCCCGTGTGCATGGTGTGTGTTGTGTGTTGTGTGGTGTGTGTGGTGTGGATGGTGTACTGCAGTGCATGGTCCTGAGAGTGGTGACGAGAAGTGTTTGGCCACAGCGCTGAAGGGTCTGAAGCGGAAGCGCCGCGACGGCGGCATCGACGACGGCGGCGGACACGACAGGGGTGACCGCGAGAAACGACTCTCTAACTTCCTCAAGGTACCTCCTTGTGTGTGTCAGCTCAGCCAGCGGGGAGGGAACCACCCACCATCCAAGTGTCTGTGTGTGGTGGTGTGATGTGGTGTGGTGTGGTGGTTGGTTGCAGGTAGTGACGGTGCCGAAGCCCCCTCACGGCGGCAAGAGCGGCCCCGGGTGGAAGGAGCTCAAACTCGGCATGGGCGAATCCGGTGAGTGGGGATACACTCGCCAGCCGCCACGGAGCCAACAAATGTGTGTATGGTGGTGTGTGTTGTGTGTGCGGTGAATGTAATCTGCCGTGGCAGGCCGCCAGCATTTGAAGCACATGATTACCTACGCGTTCCAGGACGCTGAGCTCAAGACCAAGTGAGGAATCCATCACACACAGACAGACAGACATGGCGCGCACAGCACACGCTGTGGCGGTATGGTATGGTATCCCTTCCTTCGATCGACAAATCAGGGCCGAGAAGACTGTTGGTTGCAAGCTCAAGATGGCCTCCGTGCCGCAGCTGCTCGAGTGTGCCTGGGTGAGTGCAGGCAGATCTGCACACGACACACAGATGGATGCAGTGCCTTAGTGGCACACCACCTTCCCACCCCACCCAACTCCCCGTGTGTATCTATCTGCCTATGGCATGGCATGGTTCGACGTCTGTGTATGTGTTGTGGTGTGTTGTGTTGTGTTGTGCAGGTGTGCGGGCTGTGGAAGGAGGCCATCGAGTTGTCGGCGGGGCACTTCTTCGAGCGCCTGCAGCGCATCCTCTCACGATAGTACTTCCCAACCATACACACACGCGCTCACGCATAAATGACACGGACCTGCAACACAACACGCAGCCAAACACCTGCCCCCCCCCCCCCCCCTCTCT